TAATAATACTGCCAGAAGTGTGTCCACCAGATGGCGCTTGGGGTGAAACTTTTTACGAACATACTACGATACTTATAGTGCGGTTTTACCAAAAGTATGCACATATTTTCAGTAAAGTCTGCGAGAATTTTATACTGAGGCTTTTATGGACTTAGTAAATAATAGATCCCGAACAGCTTATTTTAGCTTTTGACTAAATCTCAGAGAAAACCTTCCTAACTCATTTTGCTTGCTATAAGACTTTATAAGAATTCACTTACCATTTCCTTGTAATTTATCTTTTCAGCTCTTTCTTCGCCGCACAACGACAAAAACAGTATGTAATTTGCAAACAATCTACAAAAGTTATAAGAGCAGTATTTAAGCGCAGCAACAAAAGGCAAATGACATGTGCATTACTTAGCAATAAAATACGAAACTAATGCGAGCACATACGTGAGATAAGCAATAAAAAAGAACACCGAAAAGCAAGGGGAGAAAAAGAATAGACTACAAGTTTCAGCGTATTAAAGATGACACTTGTGAAAAATGTGAAAAAAGAGAGTGGGAGCCGGCGCTGACAGCATGTAGTGCCGCCGCAATACATAAATACACGAACTGATAATTGACAATGCGTACAACAACAACAAGTACACAAAAACAGAACATTTATCGGGGTAAAAAGTGAACAGGCAAGTAGCGGAAGCCGATGCAAATCGGAAGCGAACCTATAATTYAATTTCCGGGCATCCGTCACGTCCCGAACGCCCACTCTTTCTCGCAGTGTGAAGTAATCAGTGCAGAAAGTAAAGAAAAAGTGTTAAATACAAATAAAGGAAGCCAAATTAAGAACGCGGCAAAAGCTCATAAAACACATTAAGGCCATCGTTTGCGTGTTTGTGCTGATTAGTAGTGAAAGATTTCCGAGAAATATTTTTCATCATTTCTGTTTTTGTAGTGTGCGGATCACTAAGTGTAGTGTGAAGCATTGTTATGCGTAAGAAGCTTTAAATTCACCTTTATCTAATCAAACAGCGAACTTTTGAAAGAAAAACTTACTTCGAGCATTTTCTTATAAAAATAACATTAATCCCGGCTTTATTTGCCTTCAAATAAATTTATACAAAGCTATCTAAAATTCAAAATTATACCGTTATTAAGCCCACAGCCACGTTTAACGAACGCTTTATAAAACTTCGCAAACATAAGCGTACTTARGCTCAGTCGACAAGCGTACAGAGTTAAATCAAATAATAACAGYAACTGCTGACTGTTGCTTGTCCAAGCAGCCATTTGTATAAGTTTTTGCCGCGCATTTACAGTTGACGTCGTCAGCAGCACTCATAATGGCCGACTTGGAGCGCATAAGACTGGTMATACTGGGTGGCGCTGGTGTAGGCAAAAGTTCCATAATCAAACGTTTCCTCTTCAAGACCTACACGGACAAATATCGTGCCACGGTCGAGGACCTCTTTAATCGGGAATATGATTTGGGCGGCGTCACACTGAAGGTGAGTAAGATAGAAAAGTGAGTTTATTCAGGATTTTAAAATGATTTTTTGGCTTAGTAAATATTATACGAGTACCATAAAGAGTTCAGACACCCAGAGAAAATCAGTCCATAAACGAATTATCAGTCATCGTATGTCCATTATCGTTCAATTTGTGTTTATGAAGAATGCCTTCTTGAGGTGACCGCACAGTGGCCGCCCTCCACCGAGCTAAGCGTAAAATCATGGCTGCGTAGATGGGAATATACACTGGACAGCTTTAGCTATCACTAGCGTTACGAGCTACGGACGGAATTGAATTGAAATCGCCTATYAATTAACGAAATTTTAAAACTGAAGATACCAGAAACTTTGTTATAAAAAAAAATTAAATAACGATTTATTTTTAAACCATTGCAATGAAATTTTGTTCTTATTTTTTGTTTTTATAATACTACAACTCTCTGAAGCTAGTTTAACCAAGAATAAAACGCTTTCGTAGTATTATTTTGCATTTGCAACATGTTCCTCCCTCCTTTCGAAAGAGCATTTTATTTTTCGAACAGARAAACAGTCAAATTCATTGTCTATTACAATTATTATTTATTATTATTATTTACAAATTGATGTCTTCATTCCAGAACTAATTTTTCATTGCTCTCTCAAATATTCTTTTGCGATTGCTCACACGAAATTCATCACGTCACTATGCTATACAAATGGTTAAGCTTAACAGCTTAATGTAGGACCGCATGGAAGATGATGCCCCAGTGAAAAGCTCATTCGATTCAAAATTCATGCGTAGACAGCGGAAGCAAGGGCGCCAAAGCAGCTAATGAAATAGCGTCCTGTCTCTACTAGGGATGCACAACTGACGTGAAATCGCAATATCGGATTTAATGCTCCATAATCTCAGTACAAAATTCAAATTCATTACAAATAGATTAGTTGAGTGCTTTAAAGATTTTACTGTTTCGAATTTGTTTGAAGACTTTCACATCACTATGAGCAAGTTTATCTGACTTTTTTATTATTTATTAAAATGTCGAATTAACCAAATCAGTATTGCGCCTCTGACAAGTTAGTTGGMGATTGATGTATTTTGCGAGTTCTTGTTGTAAAATAATACTATCAAAATTAAGGAAAAGCAGCAGCCAGTGCCAGTGGTGTCCTTAGAAACACGAAATAATCTTCGTTCTAAAATATTCAYACATTTATTTGGCTTTATTGTTTGCTTCTATTGCTTAACTATTTAATTTCTCAACACGCAGCACTTGTCTTTGACACACACTTACCATGTATATGTGTGCGTATCAGGTTGCCAAAGCAGAAAATCATTATACSATATAATGCTTCTGAGCAACATGAAGCGGCGAYGCATATTGCTGTTTAATTGAATTTCTAGCTGATTTTTTGTTTGTTGCTCTTGTTCTTATGTTTTTGTTTTTGTATTGTAAGTTTTTGTCTGGTTCACTCCTGGAGAGATATGAACATGCACATCTAATGCTTCAACTATTCACCGTGGTGGCAACAACAATGCTTACAAACACAAAATAATCTCATACACATACATACCTACACGTACATATACACATTATGTATATATTGAAGTACTACAATAAAGTTTGTCTGGCCACGTTGCGCACTGTCGGCAAAGCATAGTCACTCATACATACACACATTCACTTGGAAGACAATTAAGGATAGAACTTTTGTCTACAAACAGCTTTAACATGACACGCTCGGCACGGAATAATTAAATAACGCACACATATACATGCACATGCTTTCACCGTTAGATATTGGCAACTTTCGACAACACACACATTAACAAATCTGCTGTTAAACATGTTGCTGGCACTGATAACAATGTCTTTAGTAAAATACACATTAGGGTGCTTCAATTTTCTATCATATATTTTTCACTTTGCCACCTGAAAATCCGCACCTTAATTACTAATAATAAAAATTATGCCGCTGAATAAAATGATTTTTCCAGTCTTCGAAATACTTTTGCACTTTTTGTGATGGCYTTCAGCTTCTTCAGCGAATTTTCKTTTATYTCTTCGATCGACTGAAAYTGGTTTCCACGGAGCGAAAATTTAAGTTTAGGGCCCAAAAAWATACAMAAAGYCAAATCTGGTGAATACGCTGATTGATCGATGATATTCATTGCGTCTTTGGCCTTAAATTCAGTCACAATACGGGCTCGATGCGATGGTGCATTGACAACGTGGAAAATCCGCGAATTTTCTTCCACTATTCCGACTGTTTTCGACAAATGTTCTCACGCAAACGCCTCAATACGGCCAAATAGAACTCCGTATGTCCCTCTGGAACAAATTGACGATACACCAGTCCCAATTATCGAAAAAAAAACCATTAGCAGCAAGTTTACCTTTGAGCGACTTTGGCGTGACTTTTTTTGGTTTCGGCTCTTTTTTCCCCTACATTCGGATAATTGCTGACTTGTGTGCATGTCGAACTCAGAAGCCCATGTCTCGTCGACATTTATAACGGTCTCTACATATTAATGTGGGGTCAGATGATAAAAGAAAACGCCGAGTGCAAATTTTCAGGCAGTCAGACATGAATAAATCGACTTAGCTGGTCATGCTGATCATTTATTCATATATATATATTATAGAATCTGCGACATTTCTCTTTGAGTGTTACAAACATCGCACCGAAATTCATATAACCTGTTCACCCATTATAAATATGTTCAAAATGATCTTATCACAGATTGTAAAACCGCGAAAGTTTACGTAGAACCTCGACTTATTCAATGGTTGTTTCGCCATAATTCATATATTTTGACAAAAAGTACTTGAAAATTGTAGCTTTAATTTCATGGGTAAATGTATGTTGCAAGATGGGTAGGGCTGTCTCCAATTAAAATGCTAAATATGAGCGCGATCTGCCAACCAGTTTGTTTACAGCAGCTCAATACACTTCCTAGTGCGTTGCGATTTTTACAAAAACACAAACCTACAAGAGATACAAAGCCTTCAAAGACGGTCGGGAAATGTTTGAGAACATACCTCGTTCTGGACGACATTCGATCTCTTCAAATGATGAAAATTTAACAAAGTGAAGGATAAGGTGACTGTAAATCGGCAGGCAAAGGTTAGAGAGAATGCAAGAGAGCTCGACATCTCCGGCGAGTTCGCACGAATGATTTTAGGTATAAAACTCGCTCTTACTCAACTCGTCCCGATAAAGCTGAATTTTTTCCAAAAACAAAACCGTCAAYAGGTCTCTTTGGATACGCTTGATTCAAGCTCATTAAGTTTTTTCGTTATTCATGGTTTGGTACGTCAATTTGTTCCGGAGGTACAGACGTTCAATAAGGAATTCTATTGAGACGGTTGCGGAAGAACATCCGTCGAGAATGGCCGGAATTGTGTTCTTCCAATTCATGGAATTTGCACGATGATAAAGCACCATTGTATCAAGCCATAATTAATCGAAGTTAAAGTAAAAGAAAACCAATGAATCCGTGTGATTCTTTTTGTTTTTAAACTGAAATTAATGATCCGTGAAACCCGTTTTCAGTCGATAGAAGAAATAAAAAAAAATCGGGATCGAAAAATCTATCACTTGCCTCGTTGTTTTATAGTAACATCAAACATTCAGCGACTCATTGGAAGGACACCTTGTTTTCAATTCGTGATATTCATCCTTAATGCATTATCAATGATATGCGGTTAACTTTTCTTCGCAGAAATGGGAGAAAATGCACAAAAACTTTATAGAGATTGAAATGTGAGACGCTTAGTTATTTTCATTTGAGTTTCTTCTTTGAATTTTATTTATGGCATTTTAYGCTTTGCTATGTTTTCCAATTTTATTTCGCTTTTAAGTTCATTTCAACCAAGTTCCTTTCAGAGTAACCGGCATCTATGTTATGGTTTTTTTCGTTGGAATTTATATAATCGTAGACTTGTTGACCTTTCCTTTGCTGGAAGGGCGGACTGTATTAAAATTTAAYCATCGCTTTTAGTCGTACATGTTTTCGTTTTATGAAAAGCCTTCACATCCCACAAATAATTKAAATGTGAAAGCATCGTCATGTAAACCAATTTCCAGAACACTATTGAACCTCAAACGTTTATGTCCAGCCTGGTCAGCGCCGACGACGATGGCAGTTAGACATCGCACCTCCCGTTCACCCTCTGCCTAATGCTTGTAGGCTAGTTCTTTGACCGCAAATGCCACGACAGCCTATTTCACACTGACAACGATTTAACAAGCTGCGCGTCGTGCTTCATTGCCGGCAGTCTCACTTTGATGGACA